GGGGGGGGGGGGGGGAGGGGGGTGTACTCATAGTAGTGCATGCCGTAGTCGTTAGACCATTGACCTCGCATCCCTACAAAGCCGGGACAGAGCACTGTGTAACTGCCTCGAGGATGCTTGACCATTTTAACACAACGTGGTGCGATCATCCCCCTTGCGCGGGGTGAGGGTTCTCAATCCCGCGGGGGGCAAATAGGCAGATTTGTTGTCTGGGATTTTGTGAACGTGACGCCAAAAGATAGTTAGACGGAACTCGGCTGGTGGGTATGACTCGTGAGATCAGGGGGGGATGTGTCAAGTTCGCAGGAGAAGCAGGGTTACTTCTCTGATGAGCTTGTGGTATTTGGATGTTTTGTTGTGTTAGATACCAGGCATGTGTTAAGTCTCTTGCGCTTGTCTCCCTCGTTTTCGTGTGTCTCTCTGCCTCTTGCTATGTACCACATGGCATTTGTTTCGCTTGTTCATCCGAATTTTGACGGTGAACGTTTTCTAATTTTTGTTTTTGTTGGCCCTACCTTGTTAAACATCTGGTGTTCGTAGGCGGTTCATTGTTTTTCCTCCCTCACGGTTGCTTGTTGTCTTGTACACCCTTTTCCTCTCGCTTTTCTTAGTTCGTCTTGGCAACGTCCGTGTCTACTAGCCACCGTAACCCCCACCCTCCCCCGTCCCCATTTTTTTATGTTGGTTTCTCCTCCCGGATGGGCGTGGACACCGGCGTTGGTTTCCTCTCCGAACGACAACATGAACTCGCGCACGTAGACCCGAACCAACAAGAGAACCACACGCACAGGCAGGCTCCACAAGCTAGTAAATAGTGCGAGCACAACATACTCATGTACCCCCACCCCCCCCCTGTTTCCGGTTTTGTCTTGTGACTCCACCCCTCGTGCACTTGCCGCCAACGTCCTGTCCGCGACAATACGCAACACACACACGCTTCCGCGCATACACAAAACGCAGGGGGCGCTTCACGAACTGCAAGTTCGAGTACAACATGTCCCACCTGGTGCCGCAGATGCTCATCCTGCTGCAAGGGCGCTGGGTGTGGATCGGGGCGCTGCTGCTCCTCACCGGGGTGGCCGCCATGCTCCTCTTCGTGTCAGAGTTCGTGACGTACACCAAGTCGTCCCTGCCTCTCCTGGACGAGCCGGGCAAGATGATGGTACATAGTTAGAGGGGACGGACGATCGAGACCGAAAAATGTAAATGCATATACGTACCGCCATTGTTGGCTGCTGTGTCTTAAGAAACCACTGGCATCGGATGCTGGAGTCACTGTACCCCACCACGCGCGAAGTCGGTGGGGCCCCCGCCACAGAGATGCGTCTACCCTGCGCCATATGTGTGCGTTATCCTCGATCGGGGATGCGAAAAGTTTATCCTTCCGGACACCGCTGGTTTTATCCGCACATAGTGCGCGGGGGCCGCCGAGGGGGCTCCGTGAGGGCAATACTTGGGTGTGAGGGGGGTAAAGTATCGCAGCAAAAGAGAAAGATAGTGCTGTCTTGTTGGCAAAGAAAGGAGGAGGGAGGTGTAGTGGCTGTTGTAGTCCCCGTTTCCTTCAAGTCAGGTAAAGCACGTCTCGTGTGCATGTATGTCCGTGTTGCCCTTCGTGTACGATACGAATGTCGGTGTTTTTTTTTTTTCATTTCGGTTGAGTCAGGCGACCTCCGCGTGTGGGTGGTGCCGTTTCAAAGAGAGGTTTTGTTCAGCGGAGGTGATGGTGCGCACCACGGCTCGTTCATTGCATGCGACTGGGCCGCAATACCGTGGTAGACCCGCGACTCGAATTTTGTGTATTCTTGTGGAATGGTGTCGTGTGAGTGCCGTGCGGCGCAAATATGGGGCGGGGTTGGTGGTGGCACTTAGAACGGTGTCGCCCGCAGCTTGCCAAGGGTAGGCGCATCCGCGTCGCTCGGTTCGGGTCTGCTTCTCGACTCCACCCCCACCCTCTCCGTTTGTGTCGGTTGTCGTTGAGAGATGGAGCTCTTCTTGACCGGCCGAGGTGGAACGTACGTAGTAGCGATAGATATACGTGAGACCGGTGCAGCTAGCTGCTAGACATGGGGCGTGTCGCCCGCAACGATACACGCCTCTTCCCCCCTCGTGACGGAAAAAACGAGCTGCCTTTGCGGGCCTTGTTTGTATCTCTTGGCGACGCCTCTTTCTTGTGCATCGACTCTGGGTGGCTCGCGGATTTGACCATCATGTAGAGAGAGAACACCGAGCTCAACTGTGGGTTCCGTTGATGAGCGGCAAGACCTTCCTTTTTTTTGTAAGCACGAAGAAGGTTGTTTGTTACGCGTGGCACAAACGGACGTGCTTTTTCAGGGGAGGCGTTTTGGGCAGTTTCGCACCGCACAGCCTTGGATTTTGTACGATGAGGCACCCTCTCTCACTCCTGTCTCGGATAGAAGGAGAGCGAACCAGATTGATTGATTGATTGATTGATTGATTGATTGATTGATTGATAGACATCCTTCATACGATGGGTGGCGAGTTACTCCTCTCTCGCGTTCGTTCGACTTTCAACAGCTCTGGCGATCGAGGGCTTGTTGTGCATGTTTCGGCCGCTGTATTGTTTTTGTTTTTGTTTTTAACCCACCCGAGAGTGTGAGCGTGTAGTTGCGTGCAGACTTTTAAATATTTGTGACGATTGATTGCAGCCTGACAAAGGGAGCCGGGGTTTAAGCTCGAAAACACTTGGCCGGAGGGTAGCCCTCGTGCGAAGGTGTTGGTCGGATCAACTTTCATAATTGACTTAAAACACAACGACCTACCTGCAGGGATGTATGTACATGTATCGACAACCGCACCCTTTTTTTCGCGAGTGTTCTCTACCGTGTGAGGGCTGTGACCGTGGCCATGGCGTTTGGTTCTTCTTCGCTTGCCTTCCTGAGTGGTACGGACGAACATACGGAACAAACCGTGTGAAAACATGTCGCTTCTTTTTTTTGGAGGAGGAACTTTCCAGGAACTTTTTTTGCCGTCACGCTCCAGCCCCAATCAAATGTCCGAGAACGTCGGAGACGGGGAGGGGGGCGGAAGAGGAAAAAACTGAAAATTCTTTCCATTTTTAGGTACCAACGCTGCACGATATTCATTCGTGGGCGTGAAGAGCGTGATCAGATTCTGTATCAGTCTACATTACCGCTGCCCAGCGGAGCCGCCTGATGCCTGCGGGAAGAACACTGCTGTCAGTTTTTCTGCCGGTGCTATTATAGTGAGGCCTACAAATAAAACTGACGGTCAATGCACTTCTACGGTTTTCAACGCTGTTCTTTAAAGGCTCGAGACAAAACGAACTGACCCCGAAAAACCACTTTCTGCATCGTGTCCCCTCCGTCTCTTTCCTCAAGAGATGGCCTATCTAATGCACAGGGACTCAAGTACCGCACCATTGGCCAAAACCCGGGAAACAAACCATCTGGAAGCGTATACCACTCCCCCCCCCCCCCCCCCCCC